TCCGGCAACACACATATAAGCATCAAGAAAAAAGGGTTTCTCGTGTTGTGAAGAATATCATCGCCTTCTTCTCCTTATCAGCTGATTATTTTCCAATTCACTCTGGCATTAGTTGATAATCATAATGGGGTGTTGTGTTAAAGGGTGTGTTGTCCGCTCGCCAGCCACTAATTGAGGGGAGTGGTTAGATTTTAAAGGTTGTCTGAAAAACGTTTTGTTTTGACACACTCGGGGGGGGGGGGGGGGCAGAAACCACAGAAATCAGTTTATTGAATTTCCAGGTGAAAAAAGAAAATCAATAAAATTCAAACTTCCGCCAGATTCTAGAAATTTAGAAGTTCCGGAATTCGATAAATTCAAATTCCCGCTCAACCTTAACATTTTGAAATATAACGGAAAATGGCTCCGGTTGGTTAGGTTTCAGACTATGTTTTTCAAAAAAAAAAGTTTTTTGAATTTTCGGATTTTTAAGTGGTGTGAAATATGCTTTTTCTGAGAGCAGATTCTGAAATTCAAAAAATTTGAGAACATTTTTTTTGGAAAAATTTGAAAAAACCAAATTTGGAACTTTTTGAATTTCAGAAAATGTTTTATAAAGAAATCATTCACATGTATTATCATGGTGTCCCGGAGCCATTGTTCCCTATATTTCACAAATTCAGGTTGAGCGGGAATTCGAATTTATCGAATTCCAAAACTGAATTGTGGCTTTTTAAGCCACATATAGCCGGACCATGATTTTTAATATATGATTCTAAGCCCCTCAATCAAGCCCTCTACCATTCCGAGTCTCGAAGTTTCCAGCGTTCGCCTACCTGACATTTTTCATTTTTTTTTACAATTCCCCACAAAAATTTATGCAAATCTCCTATCACAAACACACACAACCTCCATTTGATATCATTGTGTTCTTTGTAGTTTTCCATATTTTTTTTCATCCTTCCAGTGGATGGATGACACGTTGTTTCGTATTCATATGTGTATTCATTCGTCGTCGTCGACCCCCTAGCGCCAGAATTCATGCGTCAGAAAGAGAAGAAGTCGAGAGAGACTAGAAGAAGATGTGAATATTCACCAGAGAGGCGAGAAAATTCCGAAATTCGAGTAGGGGCATCTCCACCACGTCATCGTTTGAACTATGTTGCGAGTTTCTAGCTGATCTTTCTGTATTTTGTGGCCTAGAAAAGTCCCTGAGATTTCTAGGCCCCCTGAAGATAGTCGTTAAAAAACCACGTGTATTCACCCAAATTCACATCACCAGAAGGAATGTCTTCTGCGCGAGGGGTTCGCTAACTGTCACTTTTACGATATCACCCTCGAACTTGGTCATTCATTCCAAAAAAAAGAAGTGACAAAAAGGGATCGCGTGTGTCTCTTCCATCTGTCTTCTCTGTGTCTCCTTATCACTATCTCACAGCCCTCACCTCGTCATCATATCGCATGTGATGTGAGGTTATAGCTTGAAGAGGTAGAATATGTCTTGGCTAGATTTCTTTGCGTCTCTCTAATCTCTTTTTGCCACGTGTCCGATACAGTTTGCTCAAAGGTGGCGCCAGAATGACCGGTTCATCTTATGACCCAGAAGAAAACGAAACAAAACACAAAAAACAGGTGACCGTGGGAAAAAAGACCCAGAAGCATCGGGTTTCCTCACTCCTTTAAGATTCTCAAGGGATGAGAGAGCACAGAGAGAGAGAGACCACAAATTGAACTTGTCTGGCCCCGAATTATTTTTTGGTATTCGGAAAAATGAATGTACTTGCGGATCATCCCCATCCCAAGATTGGATGATGATGTTTAGAGAGCCACTTTCATTTCTATTTTTGGTAGTGGGAGATTAGAGTATGATGATGATGTCTAGGCTTATCAGAAGGTTAGGTTAGGCCCCTTGTAGGTGGTTTGAACGAACAAACTAGGCCCAGGTCCTGGGACGTAGGGTAAGCGCCCCCTGATTTTGGCTTTGCACCTACTGATTTGGGGAAACTTTTTTTGCAACCGGAGCGAGGGGGGACCCTTATGAATTTTTTTTTTTTTTTTGATAAAATTTTTGAAAAAACACACAAGGGGGGACCCTTATGTGTTTGACACCTACTGATTTTTTGGCCTGACACCACCTGATTTTTCGGCAAAAAAATTTTTGGTAATTTGGGCCTGAACTAGGCCACCATTATCAGTTCCTTTCTTATCAACTATCAGCTCTAATCGGCTCTGAAGGAAGAAGGTTCATTTGAGTTATCTCTTATCAGTGTCCACTCTGGTTTTTGGTCATGAGAAAACCAAAAATGAACTGAATAATGGAGGGTTTTGACCTGCATTTTTCCAATATTTGAAGATAGCAGTTCTAATTGAATGATTTTCGGGCTAGCTATTGAAACTACGCTCTATTTTTTCTGGCCTAAAATTTTCTGAAACTTCCCAGAAATGGGAGAATTGTTGAATTGAAAAAAACTGGCACCAAATTTCGTGGGCGGCGTTCGTGTCGATTTACGAGGCCCCGCCTCCAAATCCGATACTGTATTAATCGAAATCATTTTCAGTAAATTTGATGGGATTTTCTATACCGAGTAGATTTTTATTGAAATAAAAAACGGTTCCTAGATAGTCTAGCGATCATATTTCTACCATTAAATCTGAACTCGGTTTAGAAATTCCCATTAAAATTGCAGAAATTAACTTCGTTTATTACAGTATCGGATTAGAAGTCGGAGCCTCGTAAATCGACAAAAACACGGTCCGCGAAATTTGGTGTAAGTTTTATAGTTAATTTCTCTCATTTTTAGGAAGTTTCAGAAAATTTTAGGCAATAGAAAATAGAGCGTAGTTTCATAGGATAAATCAAATCCCTAAGCCCATCGAATCCACTTAAAGTCCTTCCTAATCGACTTTACTCCATTGCTCAGCTCTCTAAAATTTTAGTACATCCCCTCCCAACTCTTTTAATATCATAACAAATCTTCCTCTTCTTTTTTTCTCACATATCCGATATCTTAATCTGTCACCTATCACCACACAACTCTCCCTCCAACCACGCCTTTCTCTCTAACTTCCGCCTCTTATCCGTTTTTTTCTTTTTTCTCTAATTGAAACAGAAAAAAGAAGAAGAAGAAGATAGGAGAGAGATAACAAGCCGATTTGATAAGTGTTCTCATTCTCACACATTCGATATCTTCTCCCCCTTGACTCCGCCCACTTTTTTCTCTCTATCTCTGATAGCGAGGTCGTCCCCCCTCCTTTCCATTCATCTCGAATTCTGTCACTTTTTGGTAGATATGGGCCCTACTACTGAATTTCTGATGTCGTCGTGTTGGTGTCTTCTGGAAATTTCTGGCGGTGTCATTCATTTTTAAACGATATGCTCTCCTGTTTTTTCTCATCATCAGCAAGAAAAATGCATCTTTTTGATCTTTCCATAGAACTTTCGGGAAAATTTGAAAAAAAATTGAGAAAGGTGGCTGGCGGCCGAG